TTTTTTTTTAAATGAAAGTTGCCCGAAAATGTTGGCGTCTCCGATTGTTTTGTTGATTTTGTAATTAAATGGTTTTCGGTAGAATTAACAAATGTAACCAAAAAAACGTCATCCACAGAGACGTTTACCTTTAAAAGTCGCCACAAACCAATTTGAAGTCTTCTTAGTTCTTGCTGAATGTCTTTCAGCTAAAATTTTAATTTTTCCAGCTCCTGTTCTGATAAATTCGGGAAACGGGCCTGTTATGTTTCGCTTTCGTAGTGCTTGTTGGCTTGATTACTTGCAGGAAGGTCGAAAGCCAAAGAAAAGTCTGGTTGGTCTTCGATTTACCATTATCGCTTTCTGAAACTTTAAATTATGGAACTCACACGACGGAAATTTTGCAGCTATTTTGAAACTGCACAGGTCATTTTATTGAGCACGGGCGTGCGCACATAAAGATTTTGTTGATGTTGACGCAATAGGAATTAGATAGGACTAGCGCGCGCGCTGTGTTATAATATCAATTCGCTCTAGTTACGTAATCACTCAGTCGAGATGGAGGTAGTTGAGATCAACAGCGAAGTGCTCTCGCGTTCGCCAGTCAACTGCTTGAATTTGGATAGTCAGACTTACATCAAACTTTCCAATTTGGCTTGTTGTCCGAGACTTCCAGGCTTCTCAATGTGATATTCTTTCAATTTACCCAAACAGCTAGAGGATGAAAGCGAAGATCGAAGACGTTCAGTGATTATAATCTTCGACTTCGATTGTGTCGAAAATCGGTCTCTTGCCGCTTCGGATATTGGACCATATGACGAGTATGAAGGAGATAACAACATCTCAGAAATGCCCTGGCTAGACTTACAAGTCTCAAATTGTAATTGCAGTTGCTACCCGACGAAAGGAAAAATCGCCGTGAAAAGCCAGTCTTCTAAAGAAATGGCAAGCGACCCGACTGAGTTACCAAAAGAAATAAAGAAAACACTCCATCACAAGATACTAAGCTTAATTCACGAGCAAACCTGTACACATATGTACTAAAAGGGGCATTTAATACAGGTAGCAAAGGCTATTGATCGATCAAAAGCGGGCCCGGTGATACACCAGTCGAAGAAAGACGTCAAAATTTTGGCGCCAGTTCAAGCAATTTTCAACGGCCACATATTCCTAAAAAATTTGGGGACTTAAGGGGACCTTCGCTAATATTGAAAAGTGCCATTATTCAGGCACCACCAGGCGAAATAACATGCTTAAGTATTCACCAATAATAGCACGACAGGAAAATATCGATCAAGCGTTAAAGTAAAGCGCATAACAAAGCCACACAGTCTTGCATACCACTCATAACAAAGGCGTTTTTTTTTCCATTTAGAGAAGAGCAAGTTGAAGTACTAAAGTACTAAAGTCAACTTAACTGTTACAAGAATACATAAAACCGTTCAAATCACCTCCCGTGCTCCTGAATAAGGACAAACAACCGTTTAAGATTCAGTCGACTTTCCACCGCGTGCACTCGAATTCCATGCAATGTGACACCTTATCGATGATAACGCGCAAGGGCTAATGGGATAACCGACTAATCCTTCTTTGATCATAAATTATTCATCTTCATTTAAGCGTTTGCAAAATGTTCTAAGCAATAGCGTGAACATAAAAGATTGCTCAGACGAGCCAAAGGGATATTTCACACCCATTTACATTGAGCGTAATTCAAGAAACGGATTGCCCAAACCATTCTTATACTAACCCAATATCAAGATAAATTATTGTTTTACACTATGACTTTGCGAAGAACCATAATTATTACCAATATTGTGTTTACTTTTACAGATTAGTCGGCTAACCGTCTTAAGAACAGACCACTTAAACATTAGCATACTCAGGAACAAGTATTTGATTCACATAATCAATGTCGCTGTCATCTTAGACTTCTTCAGTTGATTTCACAAAGGAAGTGTACGTTCGGGAACTATCGTCTTCAGAAGTCTATTAGAGATTCAGTTTTATGTTATAGTATGAAACGTTTAAGGCAACACTTCACAGTCAAGAGGTGTCAGAGTAGAAAGATGAGCGTAGGAAAAAAAGAAAAACAATTCTTTTTAGTAATTCCTTAGTAATTTTTTAAATAAGATTCTTATTGGGTAATTCTAATTTCTTTGTTTCTATAATTACCATCATTGTCTCCGAACATA